GTTGAAGATAATGACCAGTGTGTGGCGGTTGGCGTTGGGTTTGGCTGTGAGGGTGCTTCTTCGATTAGATCCCGACTATGGACTATGTAAGTAATTTTCAATTTCTTTTCTTTCTCTCTCAGGCATGTCTGTTGGTAAGGAGGAAGGCTATTTTTGAGTATTGGTATTTCTTTTACAATTTATACATTTTAACCCTTTTTTTAGTTGTCAAAGGCTAATATGAAAATATGGTCAGGTCAATGTGCCAATTCCACTTATTGGAATGCAAGTTGAAAGACTGCTTTCTATATAATCAATGAACCGGTAATCTAGATCAAAATTGGTCATCGATGAGTTCTATCTACATCTTAATAGTCCTTCCTACATGTCTCTTTTTTTTTTTCTTAAAATAAAATAAATAAACAAAATCACATCGAATGGTGCATAAGGAAATAAAAGTCTTGTTGACTTTCTATCTGGACATACAAGTCTTATTGACTTTTGAGTTTTAATGTTAATTGAAAATAAAAACGTAGGGATTTGTTTCTCTAATTCAATAAGTTAGAGACATTCCCTTCAATGTTATGATAAGTTGACTTGGTACAGATCTTGGGTGTTGAAATTTACCTATCTCTAGTTTTCCACCGTGCTCTTTAAAGGATTGATTTTTCCATTTTTCATCACTTATTGGGACCATCCACAATCAAGCCAACGCTACCAATACCATGTATCATTTTTAAAAAAACGTACTTATTAATAATTATAATAATTTTAGAAAAAGTTATTTAAATTAATTGTAACCACTTCTTAATTGTCGTAACATAAATTTTAAATTAATCTTAAATATAAAAATTTTGAATATTTTGATCAAAAGTTTTTGTTAAGCTTTTTTGAAGTCTTTCAATTATGTTCTAAATCTGTTTCTCGTGGTTCACAAAAAGTTCTAAACAGTCCGAGTCTTCAAAGAGCAGTCCGAGTCTTCTAACAGTTTAGGAAATGATAATTTCATTATTGGTAACTAAGCTTTCGCAGAGATCTCAATCAAACCACTCAACCTTAATTGGTTTAAATCAGATCACTGAACTTAATTTACTTGAAATTTTAGCCACCCCATTAGTCTTCTTATGAGACGTTACATTCAAATCCAACGTGTCTTACAACTAGATAAATAAGTCACTAAATCTAGTTGTGGTTGCAAAATTGAAAAAAATAATCGTCTTTCAAATCATATTCAAGTGACATATACTTCAAAATTTCGCAACTGCGACTTGATTAGGCAATGTGTCTCCTAGAAATGAGAGATACCATCTCATTGACATCAATCTTTCTAATGTCTACGTGAGATGTGATTGC